AAAAAAAAAAAAAAAAAAAAAAATCTTCTCAAGATGGGTGACGGGTGACGGCTTAAATGGTTTGAACAAGATTCTTCGGATTAAGCTAATGTAAGTGTTTTATTTTGATATATGTTCAACAATTCATATCAATTTTTTTTTTTCCTAATTTTTAAACACAAGTTTTTGTTTGTTTGTATTATATTGTGTTTTTCTCTTTTTCTATAATTTCACGTCGGTCGAGACGACTGAGTCTCGAAACCTTCGGTAATTCGTTGTGCGTAAACCGGTAAACGTAGTGTACTGCTCGTTGAACTTGAAGATGATATGGATATGGTATATAAGTTTTTTTCTTGTGCAAGAACAAAATTTTAGTGTCTGATGTTTAGTAGCATTATGAAATCTCGTCGTGGACAATTACATTCTCGTCATTGACTGAAAAATTGTATTTTCTTCTTTTTTTTTAATGAAGTGAATTTAAAAAAAAAAAATGGTGTTTTTTCATTTAATGTGAATTTGCCCAAGCTGAGAAAGAAAATAATATATCAAAATTAGACATGCAATACGGTTATCCAAATACTTTTCTTACAAGAGTAGTTCAAACTTCAAACAATATTTGGCTGTGGGAGGCCCAGGGTGTGCAGACGGGTCTCATATCGGGGCATCAAGGACCTCTTAAGTCAACCGTGGGAGGTAAAAGTGAAACATGTATTCCGTTAAATGAATTATGCGGCCGATTTCTTGGATTCCTTCGCCGCGGAAGATCCTGTGGAATACCGTTTCTTTCATGACCCGCCAGAGGGTGTTCAGCGATGGCTACAACATGATCTGATTGACGTAGCCTATTAACGAACCGTTTGCAACTTAACCCATTAAGCGCCTAGCCTCTTCTATTGTATCCAAAAAAAAAATGGCCGTTTTGTTTTTGTACCAAATAATTAAATTTACACTTTAGTAACAGTCTCGCTCACCTAGTTGTTGCAAAATGACTAAATAGAACACATATTACATAGGTAATTCCAGAAAAGAAATAATACATACCATTAAATATAAAGATCCTTAAAAGGGGAATTGTAGTGACTGGTAAAAAAACAACATGCCCAATATACTCCCAACTGGTTGGGGGTCTGAGGATCAATTGTACGCAGACCTTACCCTTGTAATTATACAAAGAAGTTATTTCCATAACGACCCAAAGTACATTGCGTCATTTTATATATTTTTTTTTTCTAGAAACTTTATTAATAGAAGAAGCACTAAAATTTAATTGAACTATTTTGATCTAGTCCATTATTAGCAATATGTCAGGAGACTTGTCAACATTGACAGGTAAAATTAAAAAAACAAAAAAAGTAAAGTGAAACGAACGGATGATATAACTTCTTTTTTATTTAGAATTTCAAAAATAAAAATAAATATCTCAATATTTCAGCTAGTGAATGAAAAAAATAAAAAAATAAAAAAATAAATAAAAATCATTTCCATTTTTTATCAACCTCCTTCCTCAACAAAGCCAGACAGCAGACAAATCATACATACCTGTGTGTACATGAGTGAACCCAATCACCAACACGACTTTTAGCTATTTCTGCATTTATATTTTATACACGCAACAGCGCTTTTTCTAAGGGAGGAAAAATATGATACACAATATAATAGTACATTAAAAAACATAAACCTGGCCATCTATTTTATGTAAACAAATATCCCTAAAACCAAAGGCCCTTTCAGTATCATCATCAAGCAAGCACACAAAACATCTCTACTCAGACTCTACCTAGCAACCTGCTGTAGAGTAGGCCAAGCAAACTCTTCATCTTCCGTGTGTCCGTTTATAATGAAATCCGAACAATTTTTCCAACAGCCGTGATTGTACGGGTTCCTAAAACGCCCATCTGGGCCCCGCAGATATCCGTAGCGTATCGCGTTAGCTACTTCATTCGTAGTGATATTCCGAGCAATCTGCGTAAAAATAAATAAACGAAATGTGTATAGAAAATGTAAGCTAAATAGCGTCAAAAGAGAAAAAAAAAAAAATTACAAAATCGAGTAACTGACCTGAGTTGCCTGCACAGACAGTAATGTTGCTGAAGCAACCAATATAGCTCCATTCATAATCAGGAAAGCGGTTAAACCGGGATGATTAAAAATCACATAGTGAATCCATGATTCTCCAGTTGATGAGGCTGGTACTGATGTCCAAATTCCTGTTTCATAACAAAAGCTGTCATATATTTCAATCGGGATATTTGTTCCACCTGCCTAACCGTAAAATCCAAATGAAGGTCTCACTGTATTTCAATTTCAATTTCAGTATCATTCCTGAATTTCTTGTCATTCGCATTTTGGTACATTTTCCTAAACCTCATTTCTGTACGTACGTGGGTGGAGGAATTTTTAGTTGAAGTTTTCTAGTACTTTAATAGTATATAGGTTTGCAATGCAATAAAAAGAAGCAACTAAAAAGGGTGAAAAGAGTTCAGAACCTATTACAACTTGAAGTTATCCAAACAAGTCCAAGCATAATTGTTAAGATGAATTTAAAGTCTTAACTTCGGAATTATTCAAATATCACTCAAGTAACTTTTCTAAAGAGGAAATGCAATTTTCTTTTTGTGAAATCAACGCAAAAGTAACATTCATTAGTAGTCATTAATGGAAATGCAATTTCTGGATTCAATAGTAAATGTGTGGACAGTTAATATAAAATTCGAGCCCAAATTTATAGACAATAGAAGTGTATCTACACCAACATACTTTGTAGAGCAACCGCCCCACCAGTTAATGCTGTCAAAGTTCCCATGCATAGAAAAATTACAAAATCCCGCTTATTCCTCTGCATATCTCAGGACGAAATAGTATCAGTAATGAATATCAAACCCCATAAAGTTTTTAAAAAAAAAAAACAAAAAGGAACAATGCAAAAAATATAACTTCATCAACAGACTAGCGTATAGATCATTAATCGACTCAAAACTAATAACAAGGTTAAAAATTTATTGATATAATCTGCTATAGCTATATTTGGAAAGCACAACTGCTTCATAAATTATTGCAGATGATTTTCATGTGTGAGAGAGAAACAGATGAGGGCAATAACGGAAACTGTTGAATAGCAGCCAATATTCTAGGAAATAAAATTGCAAGTTTCTAATGAAATTCCTTCCGAAATAGGGGAGGCAAAGAGCAGCCAGTGAGTACATAGCAAATGTATACCAAATCATTCAAATAAGTAAAGATAAAAACCACAGAGTCAAAGAAAATGAACTAATAATATTTTATATCAAGCTCATCATAATTTCTTACGATTATGCAGAACATTTACTTTTTGACTGCATCAAGACCTACCTTCCCCACACAATTTGAGATCCAGGGGCAGTGGTGGTCAAACTGCTCCACACAGCGATTACATACAGCACAATGCTTAGAGCGAACAGGTCTTATTATCTGAAGGCAGTATACAATTAGAAGAAACACAAAGAACAGGTTATAGAAAGAAAGAGTCATAAAATCAATCACAATTCAACTTATGTTTTTCATCTTGATAGCTCATAATTAAACATCATCGAGAAACCTTGCAGGTAGGGCAAAGCTGTGACCAGTTTCCAGCCCAAACTGAGTTGCCATTCAAATCAATGTTCAACAAAGGATCCTGTATGAGATAAACAATTATTAGGTCAGAATAAAGTAGAAGCCATAAGAGTTAAGAATTCAACCTTGTGAAATCAGGCTGCAAACAACTAATGAAAAAAGAATTACCTCGGCATCAGAATGGTCACTCTTCCCTGTGTTTATATAACCTGGATCCTTACTGCAGTAAAAGGACAAAACATCACCATTGCTATAAAATGTAGTACAAGATACATCTTTTCATTTTCCCTTCGTGCAGTCTTATAAGTGAATACAGAAAGTTCATTACTCATTATAATATCCATAAGGATACAACAACAAAGCCGCATGCATATCTTATTCTTGCATGGACAGCAATTTACATACTTTCTTAACTTAGTTTGTATATCATTGATAAAATAACAGTAAATGTCTACCTACTGCACCGGACAAACATGACTAAAGAGCCAACGGATAGAGAGACAGCAGTCCATCCCCAAAGCCCTACTATTGCAGTTACCTTGGCCAGAGTAGGGGCTACAGGAAAAGGGATGACAATTAGTTAGCTAAACAAACCAACTTCAGCTACCAGAAAGAATCATCACTTACCAAGAAGGGCACAGCTGATGAAAAGAATTGTATTAATAACCACCAACGAAAAAAGAATTGGGGCATAACCAACTTCCCTGCCATGTGCAGAGAACATCCTGTGGTTCCAACGCTTGCTTTGCGCCCGCAATGCATTTGACTGCATAAAATTAAATTCACTCAATGTCATCCTGGTGATAACATGAAAAAGGTTTTTCACAGGAAAATTCAGAAAGTGATTCAGCATAACTCTAGTGGGATTAAACAAGAAAAAACATATGAAATGGCTGTTCATGGCCCAATTCAAAACTGGGCCCTGAGAACTGCCGATTCATAACACAGTGGTGGCTACCTATACACTTATCTGACGTCCTAGGCAGCCCTCATCTATTAGTTTCATGCTTGCCAATTTACAGTACAAAGTCAGCAATATCAGAATTCAGAACTGCAATAGCAGTATAGCACGACAAAACAAACACACGATTTTACTATGTCAACTAATAACACATACGCATTTTCATTCATAATGAAAAAGGTATTACAAATCCATCATCAGAACCACCACATTGAGATATTAGGCTACTCCCATGACATTGAGATATCAGGCTACTCTATCCAACATAAGCAGCATGAGAAATAAATGACCTAACATTAGAAAGTTGAGGAACATACATCCCCCATTTGTACCGACATATGGAAAATGTAATTAAGTGACAATTACCAATAAAGTTACATACAAGGAAAAGAGCGATATGCCGATGACCTTTATCAGAAGCAAGCTCTATAGGAGTTTTTCCTGCTTTATCCTTTAACGTTAATTCCTCCTTAGATCCTGCATGTGCAAGCACACTGCATGTCTCCACGTTTCCTCTCAACGCAGCCCAATGCAATGGTGTGCAACCTAGATGAAAAAAAAAAAAAAGAAAATACCAGGACTTAGGCTTCCAATGTCAGTAATATAGCCATGTACCATTTCATACATCCAACAGGGCTGGTGGATGCCATGTACCATTTCATACATCCAACGGGGTTGTTGGATGCCATGTACCATTTCATACATCCAACGGGGTTGTTGGATGCCATATTGCTATTGAAATATACAAATATTGCCTCAGACAAAGGAGATAAACAAAAAAAGCGAGACAGCGGATTGTGTACATCAATTTTATGACTTAATTATCTTCAAAAACAACGGACAAAAATTTAGCCTACAGGGCACCACAACTGTTCGGCTCAAAATTAAACTGCCACACTAAAAGATTTGACAAGTGCAGGTACAAATTTTTATCTCTCCAACAGCATATATTTGGCCAACATACAGCATTTTTCCGTAATTCAGTTATTTTATAACGAAATAATTGAAACCTACGACCCAACAGAACATCTGAGAAACAGAAACATCATGATAAGATTTTTAAGTTAATTGGTTTTACTTGTTCCTATTTTCCAATTCTTCAAATGAGAGAGAAACTCGGGATATTGGTCAATGAAAAAATGTATTCCCCACCCAATAAATAATGTCATTTAATTATAATAAGATGTAGTAGAGAAACTATTTTAAAAATTAATTCTGTACAAATTGACTTATTGGGCTCAATACGCAAGAAATAGGGCCCACAAGATCATGCGGTTCAAAAAAATATCACAATTATTGTATACAATCTGTAGTAGGGAATCACTCTAGTGTGTTACAAATTTGAAAAATGAGAATCAGGGTTTGAATTTGAGAATAGATGAGGATGATGAATGTGACACATTCACAGACAAGGAGTCAAACAAGCGTGACTTAAGTACTCAAATTAGTATACAACTAATCCATATTTATGTGATCATATCCTTGGCATTAAACTCACAATAAAAATAAGGAAAAATAACCTTTTACTGTTCATTCAGTAAAGCCGAAGTCCTTTCATAAAATAAAATAAAAAAATAATAATAATAATAATAATAATAATAATAACAATAACGGAATGAAGGCAGCGCCAGCCTTTTTTCAACTCATCAGTATACATTGAATATAAAATTTGCAAGTTTACAGAAAAATGTGTTGAAACTAGCAAAGTAAATACTGAAAAGCAGTTGATATTTCTAGGTCCGTTCATTTTGCATTTCAATAAACAAGTATCATTCCCAGCGTAACAGTTCCTTTTATGTATAATATAGCTCAGGCCTTAGAGTGAAACTACATTGAACTGATAGATACCTTCTTTATCCTGTCTTCCCTGGCTGGCTTCTCTAAACAAAAGCAATCTAATAGTATCAGAAAACCCTTTGTAAGCAGCCCTGTTCAAATTCGAAAGAGGATGAGTCCATCTCTGGTACTAAGATGCATAGTTTGACACACAAATATTAACAGTTTTGCATTTCCCTAGAAGCCACCAATCAGCAATAATCTTCACTCTTATTAAAAACAAAGCAATCGAGAATAAAAAGATACAACAAGCTGGCGTTCTCTTGCAAAGAGCACGTGTACACTCCTGTTTCGAAGTAAACGCAAGCTTCATCCCAATTGACCAAAATATTGTTCCCAAATAAAAGAACATGGACAGATTTAATAGACATCTTCTATTTTATACTTATCCGAATTCTGAAAATCCAAATACCAATCGGAAGGAAACATGCTTGTAGAGCCAAATTCACAAGGACAACTAATCATCAATTTATTGAAACTCGACCTTCTACAAACATAAATGACGAGACTGAACAAGGCTCAAGAAGACCAAAGCCATGCATGAAAAGAACTACCTACTACGGCACAGTCAAACAGATATACCCAGGTTCTTCCCTTTATTCTTCTCAAGTCATTGCAACTATTATTAAGCCAAACCAAAATTCTTTTGAAAACTTTAAACAGTTATCAAACAGAGATCTGTGAACCACATTTGATTTCAAACACTTTGGTGTTCAAGATAGATATTTCACATATAGAAAGTTGCATTTATTCCTTGTGCAGACCTGACCAATTAAGAAAGGAAATTTATTTTTTCTAATTTCAGAATATTCAGATTTGGAATATCTAAGTTGAGAAGGAACTGAATAAAGGAGATATTATGTCAAAGCTCTTAGCAAAGAGAGACAGCCTACATATTACTACAAAACAACAATAATATTACACATGCAACTCGTCGCAACACAGTAATTTTAAGTTGGAGTCAATGCCTTTTTCCCAGGATACAATTGCGATAATTTGTAAGTAAAAAGGCAACAAGTGAAACAGACAAACATCAAGTGAAGGAATTATGTTTTGAGGATATATGGTAACTGAACCAGTTGCATACCAGTGTAACGGGCTCCTGCCATCATTATCTGGCACATCAAAATCAGCATGAAATTTTGCTACTATGTAATTCAGGAAAGACGTTTGCCCATATTGAGCAGCAACATGAACCGGCTGCAATATGTTGAAAGACAGCATAATTATTAACAATGACACCACTCTTCAGCTCAGCCAGAGTACTCTGAGCCTGCCATGGACATGCGCATTACCCACCCAGCAAGAAAAAGAACGAATACATTACAGCTACTTCTTTTCAGATTGTCCCCTAGCTCTCTTTTAGACGCTCATCTCATTTACAAACTCACAAATTGTTACAATCGATAATTCGATGCACGAAAAAATTGAAGGATTATAATCACCCGGTAACCATTAGCATCGGCAGCCTCGACTCGTGCCCCATTCTGCAGCAGCACATCCGCAGCTGCAATCGATCCTCGAACTGCCGCCCAGTGTAACGCTGTCTGCCCCGCATTATCCTTCGCGTTTACATCCCCACCACGCTTTCAAACCAAAAATACAAAGACATGAATTTCGCAATACAAGCCAGACAAGAAAACCGAATGAACTGATTTATCTAGCGCGAGAGTATATGAACAAAATACATCGATAATGTACTGAACAATGTCGGCGAAATTGTTGAGGGCCGCCCACTGGAGGGGGTAGTAGCCGTTGCCGTCGGGCAGGGAGACGGAGGCGCCGTCGTCCTCGACGAACTTCCGGAGCTTGTCGAAGTCGCCGTAGGCGGAGGCGGAGAAGACGTCGACGATGTGGACTTCGTTAGGGTTTCCGTTGGAGGAGGGCTTGAGCTCGTTGGATTCTGAGACGATTTCGATTTCTGAAGTAGCCATTGGCGATTGAATCGAGGAACTTTGCGTGATAAATTTCTTCGTGCGAGTTTTTTTGGATTCAAATCAAACTAATTTTGATATTTCGTAAAAAAATATTACGTATTTGATTTTTGATAGCGTTAAATGTTGGATCTTGTGTGTAAGCTATAGAACAGTGGAGGAGGAGGATAAACTCCAAGTAACAGGGCTATTTTAGTCATTTAATTCAATATAATAAAAAATTACGATTAATATTATACTTCTATCAATAAGTTTAAGATAATTGGAAATAAATCCAAATGACAACTTCATTTTGCCAATTAGTTTCTCTCTCTCTCTTTTTTTTTTTTTTCAAA